TTCATGTTCTTCCTCCTTCTGCTCCTCATTTGAACCTTGGGGGGCTCAGTCCAGTGCTCCAATGTGGGTCTCCGTCTGTATCACCGTCCTTCGCCAGATGAAGGATCTATGGTGATAAGCAAAATATTCATCAGTATGGTTATGGGCCAAGGCCAGTTCAGGCACCCTCTCCTCTGTCCAGAGAACAATCTGGGGGATCTCTCCTTGGACCTGGGATCCCATATATAATCAAGTCTCCTGTAAACCCTAAAATGACTCCCTTAGTTGAAATATATTCTTCCCTGATCCCATATTCATCCTCCCTCCCTTCCCCCATCCCAGGCCACCGAGCTTTCCCCATTCCTCCCCTACTCCCTTCTCTATAACCCTCTCCCCTTCCAACAACCCTCCCACCCCCCCCCATGCACCCGAGGTTACCTGGGACTCTTGTCTATTTCCTACCTCCTGGCGGATAGCTAAATAATCTTCATCAGGTTCATCTTCTTATTTAGCTTCTCTAGGATCATGAATAATAGGCTCAAAGACCTTTAATTATGGTTAGAATCCACTTATGAGTGAATACATACCGTGTTCCTCTTTTTGGGTCTGGCTTACCTCACTCAGTAAAGCATTTTCTATTTCCATCCATTTGCATGCAAAATTCAAGATGTCATTGTTTTTTATCGCTGAGTAAAACTCTAATGTGTATATGTTCCACACCTTTTTTAACCATTCTTCTATTGAGGGGCACCTAGGCTGTTTCCAGGTGCTGGCTATTACAAATAGTGCTGCTATGAACATAGTAGAACAAATGCTTTTGTAGTATGTTAGGGAATCTTTAGGGTATATTTCCAAGAGTAGAATTGCTGGGTCCTGAGGGAGGTTGACTCCCAGTTTCCTGAGAAACCGCCACACTGATTTCCACAGTGGTTGCACAAGTTTGCATTCCCACCAACAATGGATGAGTGTTCCCCTCACCCCACATCCTCTCCAGCATAGGCTATCGTTGGTGTTTTTGACTTTAGCTATTCTGACAGGTGTAAGATGGTATCTCAAAGTGGTTTTGATTTGCATTTCCCTGATCGCTAAGGAGGTTGAGCATGACCTTAAGTGTCTTCTGACCATTCGAAGTTCATCTGTTGTGAATTCTCTGTTCAGTTCAGTACCCCATTTTTTAATTGGGTTAATTAGCGTTTTAGTGTCACGAAGTACGCTGGAAAGTCCCGGGCAAATCCGAACTCCTGTATATGCGGGGCTGAGCGGTGCCGCTGAGCATTCTCTGTGGGCTAACACCTGAAACTCCTGCTGGAAAGGCTGGTCCAGGCTTCGCACGGAATCCTGGTTACACGGGACTGTTCCAGTCTCTTGTCATAAATTAGATAGCTCCACCTTATGGGGCTTCGTCAGTAGAAGATGTGCCTTTAAGTTTGAGGGCATTGTTCTATTGGAGAGGTCCATGTGCCTAAGATGGCTGCGTGCCTCTTCTTAGGCACTCAAACTTCCCTCAAAAGTCAAAGTCTCCCTCTCTTTGGAACCTTTTTTCCTGTGGGTTTTTGAGACAGGGTTTCTCTGTGTGTCCTTGGCTGTCCTGGAATTCTCTCTATAGGCCTGGCTGGCCTTGGGGTCACAGAGAGCCACCTGCCTCTGCTTTCTGAGTGCTTGGGATTAAAGACCTGTACCACCACTTCTCAGCTTTTTGGAGTCTTTTAGGTTAAGCAAGTCTCCCCTTCTTTCCCCACCCTCTGAGAAAATCCCTGGCGTCACTGTGCACGGGAGGCCACGGAGTCCGCTGTAGGCCTTCCCAGACTCCCGCTGCGTCCACTTCAGACATGAGTTGTTTGGGACTCGTAGGCCAACACTGCGCACCTTGGGTGCCCTCAGCAAAGCTAGGATTCTGACACAGGTTATATTGGAGACATGATTTCGGTAAACAAGTACACAAATGAGTGCCCTCTTTTAATTTCTTTTGAGTGGGAAAGAGTATATTTTGAGCAAAATTACTATTGCATCCAAAATAATTACATCATGTTCTATAATAGAAAACAATGCTAGGTTTAGGAAAAGTTATGCTTTTAGTCCATTTTTATAAAATAAGACCTAAGTTTGGCGGCAGTGGTGCATGCCTTTAATCCCAGCACTCAGGAGGCAGAGGCAGGAGGATCTCTGTGAGTTCGAGGCCAGCCTGGTCTACAAGAGCTAGTTCCAGGACAGACTCCGAAGCTACAAAAAAACCCTGTCTCAAAAAAAAAAA